AAGCCTTCCTCACTCCACGGCAAAAAGGTCGTACCGATCTATGTCTTAATTGGGATGGCAAGTCTGTCTTATGAGGGATGTGCATGTGTGCTGCGGCCATAAGACAACCATGACATCCGTTTACCTGGGCTACGACCCGGGACAAGTGGAACTGAGCTTCCAACATGAAATCGTCGGGACGTCCTTTGATGTTGGTCCCTGGGACGAATTCCGCACGACCTCCCTCGAATTCTGCAATGGCGACGCAAGGAATAGACTGTTCATACTGAAAGCACCAGGACTGATCCATGCAATCGCACGCACTGAACGGCACGCTTCCGGGTCCCATTGACATTGGTGGTTCGAAGAGCTGCATGGCTGTCTGCATTGTACCTACGATCCGTTCCTTTGACACGGGTCCATCATGCCTCGCGTATGCGATTGGTGTCGAGTGGCGAATGCAGCAAGCATCATTGTCGAGATTGCATTTTGAAGCTGTTTTTGAATAATTAAAAAAATGTAAAAATGAATCTACTAATGCACCCTCGAAAATCACATATTTTTGTGTTACATATTTTATTGGATGGTGCTTGTCAATACTATTAATAGCCTTGGAATATTTTTTTAGTCGAACAACTGCATGTGCGGGATCGCAATTGTCCTTGGTGCACATGCCCACGAACGTGCCCAGGCTGCTGCAGCAGCAATATCCCGGCGCGGCCCCAACCACTTGTCAGTGCACGAGCGACCTCTCAGGCATAGCTGCATGACTCTGTTCATGGTCAGTGCTGTGCTGCACTTGAGAGGAACTTCGATGTGTAAACAGCCAGTTCGTGATAGCCACGGCAACGTCCTCCTGTGGAACGGCGAAGTTTTCGGTGGAGCTTGCATTCCAATCTTTGAGAGCGACACAGTGCACCTATCCCAAAGACTCGCATCGATTGACGACCACGACATGGAAACAACGGCTGCCAAGGTAGTGCAAGCAATCAGCAGCATTCAAGGCCCTTTTGCCTTCGCGTGGCTCCATGTGTCCACCAACACCTTGTTCTACGGGCGAGATCGATGGGGCCGTCGGAGTCTTGTGATGCACATGCCGTTGCAAGCCGACGCTACCATGCTCTTTCAGTTGGCGTCGGTGGCGCTCGATTCTCTAGAGGATTGGGAGGAGGTCGGTTGCACAGGCATCTACAGCTTGAATCTCAGCACCGTGTGTGCAAAACCGCAATTGCACTTGTGGCCACCTCCAGCGATATCGCTTTCCATTCCATGTCGTCCTCCGCTGCCTCCGTCTATCGAGGCGCTGGTACGATTCGACTGTGATCCTCATAGCACCAGCTCTGCCATGTTGCAATCCGCCAAGCATCTTCTTCAAGTTCTCAGTGCGTCCGTGGCGAAACGAGTCGAATCCATTCCGCCTGCCGCAACCGTTGGTGGCCACGAGTTGTCGCCTGCACGTGTGGGAGTGTTGTTTTCTGGCGGGCTTGATTCCGTCGTTCTGGCAGCGTTGACCCACTTCCATCTTCCTCGCGAGGACCCCGTGGACCTGCTTTCGATTTGTTTTGACAAGGACCACTCGTCCCCCGACCGAAAGGCGGCCATCTCGAGCTGGATGGAGCTTATTCATCTGTTTCCCACACGAACTTGGAGATTTATTGCTATCGACGTTCCCCGTGACCAAGTTGACGTCCACCAGCCACACATACTACAGTTGATGCAGGTACGTGTACAATTTTTGACCTTAGGCGTGCAGTTATTCATGACGTCCTGGATCTCGTAGCCGTGCAAGACGCACATGGATTTCAACATTGGCACTGCATTCTGGTTTCTCGCGAGAGGTCATGGCACGATACTTGACGTAAAATCTCCCGCGGACGAGAACGTCGCCCCTTCTGGCTTGCCGAGAGCTCCTGTGGTAATTCTGTTTGAGGCATCCACAGACGGACGTTGCCCTGTCGCGACATGCCCCGGACGCAAACCGCACTCTGGATGCAATCTCCAAAGCCACATGTGCAAAGCTTGTTGCACACGGAGCTACAAACTCGCAGCGAAAGTGATCAGCTATGCGACACATCCCCAAGAAGTCGCGTCGTGCTTCGCAGCATTGGACAGCATGGGCATTCCGCGGGAGAAATTGCTGCTTTGGCTCGACACTCTACGACGTGATGACGTCCCGTCCACATGTCGAAAGCTAAGCTCGTTGATGCCCTCCGCCGCTGCGACGGATTCGATCAAACTTGGACATCCCTACACGTCCCAGGCAAAGGTGCTCCTGGTTGGCATCGGCGCGGACGAGCAAGTGGCAGGTGCTGGATCGACGATTTTTGTTGCCGATGACATTTGTGTTGTGCGGTGTGCACGAGTGTACTGAATTCAGCTTCATGTAGGTTACAGCCGTCACAAGGAGGCGTTTGTGACGAAAGGATGGGATGGACTGCGCGCAGAGCTAGACATGGACATGAGCCGGATCTGGCAGCGAAACTTGGGGCGCGACGACCGCATGATTGCCGACCACGGCCGCGAGGCAAGGTTTCCATACTTGGACGAAGATGTGATTGCACTGCTGCGGTCGATTCCCCTGGATCATGTCGTCGACTTTGCACAGCCACGGGGGGTTGGGGACAAGCTCATTCTGCGGATTGTTGCGAGGCAGTTGGGACTGATACACTGCACGGGGCTGGCCAAGCAAGCAATTCAATTTGGTTTGCTGGTCACGTTCTCAAAGTCTCCATCCTCATATGCGTCCCATTCGTAGGAACTCGCATTGCCAAGCAATCGAACGATCGAGTTTTGGGGCACAAACCGAAAGGCACGACCATGTTTCTTGCGGCGTGAAATCGGTAATCTCACGAATCCAAGGCGGAGGGGGGCATGTCACCAAGAAGACATGCATTCGATCACGACATCTCGTCGGAATGTCAAAATGTACATGGAAAGGGATTTGATAGCGGCAGCAATGGCGTTTTTCCTTTGGGAACAGTCGTTGCGGCCTTAGGGCCACATGCACGGATTTCACGGGCAATGAATCATGTCATTGTGGCTCGAACAGCCTCTCTAATCCCACATGGAACTGGGACTGCCTGAGCTACAGCGAACACGATTCGTGCAGGGCTACAGTGTGTGTTGTTTTTTGTCCCGCTCGATACATCCAGGTGGCATGGACACCCCAATGCACGTGCGAATGCGCCAACTTGGCCAGTACAGAAAATATGAATCGACGTCGTGCATGGGCGGACGCCATCGTGGTCGCACGAATGTTGTGTAGGTTTTTCGCCGACTAAAAATACACTGCCTGCCATCGCAGGAACAGTAACGGTGTGCGCGCTTCAGCACCATTCCGCTTCGTCTCTGATCGATCGAGCGCTGGTCATGGGCAGCGGCGTGTCGAGTCCTCGAGAACCAGAGTCTCTGAGCTCCCTCACGCTCTTTCATTGCCTCAAAGACGAGTACGCTGACTTGGTCTCGCAAGCTGTCGCGGACGAAGTCGTATTTGAAACACTCAAGCAGGTACTGTGATTGCATACGCGGAGCATCTTCCTTTGACATCACTGCGTGGCACAGATGTACGTGCAGGCCGTGCACGACTTGGACACACCGCTTCCTATCGGAAAACGCGGGTCGTGGGCCCGGCGAAACTCGGACAAGGCCAAAAAGGCCAAACGCACCAATGTGTTCACGCCTGGCTTGGTATACTCCTTTCTTTATCGTCGTCGCGTCCTCGCATGACGCAATGGATCTTTCATGGGCGGTGTCCATCCACAGGACTTGCAAACAGCCCGAGTCGAGGACCAAAAGCAACCGACGAAAACCCCCGAAGTGATGAAGCTCTTGCGGGACAACATTCAGGCCCTTCTCTTTGAAGCTACGACGGACGATGAAATGGACAAAGTTGTGGCAGTCATGACGGACATGACCGTGCCAGCGGGCGACGTCGTCATCCACCAAAACGACCACGGCGACAAGTTCTACGGTATATGATGCTGTTGTGCGCTCATTCAATGGCTGATGGAGCACTTAGTGCTCGAGCATGGATCATGTGAGTTTCTGGTCAACAACATCCATGTCGGCGATGTCGAGGCGGGGGGGCACTTCGGAGAACTTGCCCTCATCTACGACGGTATGGACGATCTTGGTGTGATGTTCTCGTCACATGCACGGTCGTGTAGCCCCCCGCGCCGCCACGGTGCGGGCGACGCGGGATTGTACTTTGTGGACGCTGGGACGCAATGAGTTTCGAACGGTATGTGCCGCCGCTCCCTCCAACATGGACAAGACTGCGAGTGCCGGCTGTGGCGTTGATAACCATGATCGGTGTCTTGCGGAGTAGATTCAAGCGCAATCGTCAGAGGACTCGCTTGCAAAGCGGTCGCACTGGCTCCGCAATGTGCCCATTTTCAGCAGTTTATCGGCGCGGCAACTGTCGCTGCTGAATCGGGCGTTCGAGGTTGTCAAGTTCGAACCAGATGAAATCATAGTCAAGCAAGGCGTGATGGGCGATGCCTTCTACATCGTCTCGTCGGGCTCTGTTGTGTGCACCATGGACGGTACTCGGACTGCATGGGTTTCAACTCACGACCCTGCAAGGCTCGAAGCGCAACTTGCACGTCAAATCGACGTCGGCCAACGAGGTTGAAAAAGATGTCCCATGTCGTTAGTCCGCTCGGTGGGGTCACCGACGGCGTAGGTCGCGAGGCTTGGCGAAGGCGAGTACTTTGGCGAGACATCGCTGCTAAACGACCAGCCGCGCAATTGCACCGTCCGCGCGATTGGTCCGGTCAAGTGTCTGCGTCTCCACCGGTCTGACTTTGACAGCATGCTTGGGCCGCTGTACGCGATCCTGGAAATGAACGCGTTCAAGCGCATCTTGCGCATGTTTGACATTTTCAAGACGCTTTCCGACGACGAAATCGAGCACTTGACGACCCATTTCGAGATCGTCGAGTTGGGCAGTGACAAGACGATCTTTACGACCGGCGACAACGCCGACTTTTTTTACATTGTGCGGACGGGCAGTGTACTCTTCTTGCCCGACGGATCCACGTCTGCCAGCATCGACCCGGTGACGCTCAACGTAAAGGACTACTTTGGCGCTGAAATGTTTCAGTACGTGCAGCAGCAACAGCTTTCGATGTCGCTCCCGTTTTTTGACTTCGAATCGACTGCACAGAGGAACGACGTACCAGTCGACAGTGCGAACGGGCGTCGATTCCGCGACATGCTTTCGTCTGTCCAAGACGTTTGTGAACGAAGACCTGGCGAGCGGGCGCAACTGCTGCTTCCTGCGCCAAACCAAGTCCAAGACTGCCCTCAACCCGCTCTCGTTGCTTGAGCTGTCGGAGCTCGTCCATGTACGTTGGCACGATTCGGTCGTGGCATCCCATCGACTGAATACCGCCACGACGGAATAGATTGGCGTGCTAGGCGAAGGTTCATTTGGCCGCGTGTCGATGGTACAAGCGTTCGTGAACGCTGAAGAGCACCTCCTCGCGCTCAAATGCGTATCTAAATCCCACGTCGTCGAGTGCCACCAGCAAGAACACATCATGCGGGAGCGAGCCATTCTCCACGACTTGAAGTGCCATCCATTTATTGTACAGCTTCACGCGACGTACCAGGTCGGGCCTATCTCGAGATGGTCACTGCAATTTTCACGTGTGCAGGACCAAAACTACCTCTACATGTTGATGGAGCTCGTCCAAGGCGGCGAGTTGTTTGGGCTGCTGCATGCCAACATCCTGGACCGGCCCCTCGTCGAGGATGACATCAAGTTTTTCGCGGCCAACGTGTACTTGGCTCTCGAACACATGCACAAGCGGGACATTGCGTACCGAGACTTGAAGCCGGAAAACCTGCTCATCAGGTGGGCGTGGAGCGCTGTGAAGTCTTGCCATTCACGCGGCGGCGCCTTGTCTAGTGCGAACGGGTACCTGAAGGTGGTTGACATGGGGTTTGCAAAAAAGATCCCGTTCACCGCCAAGGACGACAATGGCCATGTCGCCGTGCACGCGCGCAGCTATACTCTGTGCGGGACCCAAGAGTACTTGGCGCCTGAATTTGTTCTCAACACGGGCCATGACTTGGCGGTGGACTATTGTACGTGAACGCACGCAATGACGCCGCGGGGCGAGTCACCGACCGTGTGTAGGGGCATTTGGGATTTTGATTTACGAAATGTTTTTGGGCTACACACCGTTCGAGACGCCGGACGGCGACATTGCCAAGCTGTTCAAGAACATTGCGTTTGTCCGGACGGGTGCAAATTGCGTGCAGTTTCCGCACGACTGCACGGCGGACTTTCCCGTTGCGTGCAGCTTCATCGAGAGCTTGCTGCATGGGGACCCGACCAAGCGCCTCGGCATGGGCCAAAACGGGTCGCACGAGATTCGCAACCATCCGTGGTTCCACGACCTGGACTGGGACAAGCTGCGCGACCAACAGCTCCCGGTGCCTTACGTGCCCCAACTCAACGGCCGCTACGACACGTCCCTCTTTGAAGGGGACCAAGGACTTCGAAGCACCGACATCGACTACGACGGCGCGGAGAACTACCTCTTTGAAGGTTTTTAATTCCAAACATGACGATGCGTTTGCTGTTGGAACGGCGAACCGTTTTTTTAAGGGGCCGACACTCGACCAGTTCTTCGATAGATTGCCGGCACGATGCGACCGCACCGACCTCCTCTTCGGTCGCCGCCTCGAGGCAGCAACAACGACGAGCCGTCGTCGACCGTGTTGGACCCTGCATTTGCCGACCCCATTCGACGCCAAGTGCAGTCGTGTCGGAAAGCAGATTTTCGAGAAGTGCTGAGTGGGTCAAATCCCGTGCTTCGCCGGATTGCGCTGTCACCTCGATGTGAAGTGAACACCGCGCAGGCCTTTCGTGACGCTGTTCGCGAAGACATTGTGTTGAATGGTGCGATGCATGCAACAACATACTGCAGACGAACGCCTGACCGGCGCTGTAGCTGTATGAGCCTCGTCTTCTGACGTGTTTTCTGTCTAGGCGTTCAGTTTGTCGGCGACCACCGCACCGAAGCGTTTGTCGCGGCGGTGAAGCGGATTGTTGAAAAGTATGTGCCTGCAATTGGCCACGATGGCTCATCCGTGGCATGGTGTAGGTTTGTGACAAAGCCCAGGAAGGCGCTGCACGTCTCCGATCGGGTCATGCGGAGTTGCTCGCGCACGCACAGGTACTGTCTGCGACGACAACAGTAGCTTGATCCTTGACCCCAGCGGGGCCGACGCGTACTTTGCCCTCCAAGAGCTATTTGGGCACCCCGATCTCCTCGTACGCGCGTGCGATTCCTCCTGACGGGATCCTTTCATGTCCACATTAGATCAAACCGCGGAGCGACCCGCCTCCACCGCCCCTCGAAGTCACGTTAGGGGTCGATCGTAAAGGTACAGCATCGCATGTGCTCGGAAGCGTCTTTGCCCTCGTTGTGGCACTGCGGCATCTGATGAAGATGGGCTTGACGTCCATGACAGGGTCGCTCAAGTGCAGGATTTGCGCGGCGAACTTGTTTGGCCTGTACAGACACGACGACATCGAGCGTGAAGTGATGCTGGGGGTGAGAGCAATGCTGCACTTCCCCATGGGATTTTTACCTGTGTCGGTTGGATGAACTGTAGCGAACGGCCGTCGTCCCACCGTTTGTGCTCGTGGACACGGTGATCGTTGAAGAAATCGACTTTGCCACCGACATGGCGAAGCGATACCTGAGCGTGCGGTCGCCCGAGCCCGACGTCGACGTCAATTCGGAACTTCGCGAGTTGTTTTGAATGGCTGAGGGCCACCGGCGTCATTGTCACGTGCCGTCGTCCCTATCAACTCCATCCATCGCCCAAGGTAGATAGATGCACACATGTGAATCCGCCACATGCGCTGTGCCGTCGAGGATTTGGCATGAACACTGCATTACAATCACTAAATCCACACGCCATCGCCTTCTTCGGCGTCCGAGTCCTCATCTGAATCTGAATCGTCTTCGTGCCCACGAAAGTATTCGTGGGTCGCCATCGACACGCGGTGGTCCGATTCGAGGGCCAGCTTTCTAAATAGGTTGACTTGGTCGCTGGACAAGCCGGTGAATTCAGTCACGCTGTCCTCTTCTTCCCCCATCATCATCATGCTCATCCGATGCGCTTGGTGAACGACTTCGTGCATGCGTTGGAGTTCCTTCGCCATAGCAAAGTTCTGGTCTTCTCGGTTTTGGAGAAGCTCCGTGTCCTGGTCGTACTCTTCCTCTTCCTCGTCGTATGTGTCAACTTCTTCGTCGTCATGAAAACCACGCACGTCGTCCTCGGACTTGGTCGGCGATGCGGGGCCGCTGCTGTCTCGGACGGGCGAGATCGACGCCCCGCCTTCGGACGTCGACCGGCTCATGGTTGTTACGTCCAGCAACGATCGCTTGCGTTGGGCTTCCAGCTTGCGGGCCAAGGCGTCGTTGCCGTCGGCTTTGGCTTTCTCTTCCGCCGCCTGCAAATGGCGCGCCAACTCTTCCTTGCCGCGTTTGTCCCGCTCCATACGGTCAGTTGACGACGGCTGAGACAAGCGCTCGGTCGAGACGACAGCAGACGCCGTATTTCCATTGCTGAAGCTGCCGTTGTTGCCTGCGCCCAAGGCACTACTCCGCCGAATCTCCTCCAATTCTTTAATCATGCGCTCAGCTTCGCGCCGAGCTTGCTTCTCTTCGATCTCTTTCAGAAGCGACAAATCTTCCCGAGTGCTGGGCCTTCGGGACAACCCTGCTTTCGGCGGAGCCGCCGCTACAGTCGGAGCGGGCAGCGACACGAGCGGCGTTATTTCGTCGACCGGAGGACTGGGGGCTTCCGCCTCGGTCGGACCGACCTCAACCTCTTCGACTGGAGCGACTGCCACTACTTCAAGGACAGCTTCCTCCTCTTCATGGACAACCGCCGTCAGCGGGTCACCGTAGTACTGCACCCAGCAAGTCTCGCAGTACCATTGGTTGTCCGAGTCGTCCAGGTAAAATGGCAGGAGCGTAGTTTCGAGGGCAGCGCACTGAAAGCATCGTTTTTGCGCGGACGCCGGGATGACCAAGTGCTCTGTCGACGACGAAGTGATCGAGTTGAGGTCCTTGAGCACGTCGTCGCGCATTTTATCCAAGTGGTCTTGGTTCACTTCGAGATGCGTGAAGTCAATCGAGTCGCGGCTGAAAAACTTGTCGCTAGACTTGAGTTCGGCAAACAAAGAGTTGGCAGTGGCAATCATGGCCTTTGACTTGTTTTCAGTCGCCGGGCGCAAGATGCGCTCCATCTTTTGCTTGGCCAGCATCTCTTCGTACTTGCGTGCTTGCTCTTTGAGTTGCTCCAGCGCTTCCGCCAACACCTGCGCCTCGCGCTCCGCCCGCGTCAACTCGGCCTTCTTCTGCCCTCGTTTCTTGTCGGCTTGGATCGTGACATACGCCTTGGCCGCGACGCGGAGGTAGTTGGCTTCGTTTGACCCTTCCACGATCTCTCGAATGGGGACGCCGGCGAATTCGTCCCGCATGATATCCAGACCTTGCGACGTTGCCACAAGCTGCTTGGCCACGTCCAGAGGAATCTGGTCGCGTTTGTGGAACGACGACATCGATAAGGACAAACTGTCTGCCGCGATGACGTGATGGTCCCGCGCGATCGGCCGAAACCGCAATATGATGGGTTTCGGAGTGTGCTTGAGAAGCCGCAACGTGCTTGTGTACGACGACTCGTCCACAAACTTGCCATTGACCGTGACAAGGACGTCGCCGATGTGCGCGTTGTGGAGGCCGCTCGCGGTGCCTTTCCCCGTCAAGCGCGAAATCATCGGGACATCGCTCGGCGTCGGCTTCAGCTTGAGCCCGAGTTCGCCTTCTCGCCACACAATGTCGTACATACCAGCGTCGGCGGTAAGTTTGGTGGACAATGGGAGGTGGACCAGGTCGTTGGCATCGGGAATAGACACCACGGGAGGTTCTGCAACAGGTCGCGGCGACGGCGGCGACGATAAAGTGTGTGGGATAGTGGGTGCAGGAGCAGGTGGTACGTCGGGCTCTTCGACTATGGGTGGTGGCAGTGCGTGCACGTTTGCTGGCACGGCCTCGCTTCCTTCTTTGTCACGACTGCGAGATACCCTCCGCCGCATGCGCTTGAATTTCAGGATCGCAGGCTTTTCCAAACTCTTGAGCGTCGAAATAGACTGCCTAAATCCAATCTCTTTTGTCGGGGCGCCGTTGATCTCGAGCAAAATGTCACCGACGCGGGCGCGTTCGATGCCGCGGGACCCGAGCCCTTTCCCTGTAATCTTGCGAATGCACGGGATGTGGCAGTCGATATCATCTGGGCGGAAGATCATGCCAAGGGGTCCCTCGACCCACTCGACCGAGTACGTCTCGCGCTTCGGACGGCCAGACGATGATGTCGACGATGAAACCGACATCGAGTTGTCTGGCTGCGGTGGTGGTACCTGTTCGGAAGGAGTAGACAATGAGCTTCCGGCCGATCGACGGAGATTTGATGATCCTCGATATTCGGAATGACTCGATGAACGATCCGAAAGCCGAGTTGGGTCGGGTGAGGCAGGGGAAATAGGTGACGAGTTCGCAGGCATGTTGTCGAATGGCGATGTAGAATGCTGTCGTGAGTACACGGCCGGTTCATTCCTCGTGAAATCTGAACGAACAGGTTGGTCGCGTCCATCGCCGTAGGCAGACACTTTGCGATGCAGATGTCGCAGCGAGGTGCTTCCATTGTTTCTAGCAGTGTCGCTGTGTCGAGTGTTGTTGTTGGTAATAATGGGCGCGTTGTTGATGGCGAGGGACTTTGGCACTCGAAATCGGAGAACACACGGCCTTGGGATCGTCTTGAGCATATGCACGATCGCATTGTACCCTCGTCGCGCTGTCTCGACGCCGTTAACGCTCACGAGCATGTGACCGACTGCAACACCGGCAAGCGCTGCGGCAGAGTCTTCGCGGGTGATCCGTCCCACGACCGGAGGCATGTCATCGCCGAGCTCTGCCCGCAGGGTCAGGCCTAGGTTGCCATCGCCCCAAGTCACATTGTACTCCATCGAGTAGTCTGGCGGGGTGGAGAAGTAATAAAGCCAATGACAGCACCAAGTCTTTACGGAAAATAATCGAACCCCCCTCCGGATAGGGACCCCAAAACGGCCATTTCAGACCATTTCGATGGGTCCCCCCCCCACTGGGTCCCATAAATCTGACCTCCAGTGTGTAATGTGAGCTGCATGCGACAGCGCGGCAGGCCAACCACCGGTCCCAACTGCTGAAGCGCAGCAATTTTGGACTGGCGGTGTCTCATCAAGCGTCATGGGCATGCCCTTCATGCATGTCGGGTATGTAGACCGTGCGGGCACAGTAAACGGTGTACCCCGCATAATCCATGAAGGGGATACGAACGGAGCCAGCGATGGACGAGCTCTGTCGCATGGAAACCTGGCCAACAATCGGGTGGTATCGTCAAAGAGCATGGGACTTTGCGTGGATTTGCGACTGCCTCTGCAATAGAGTCAAGGCATGGATAGATAGCCCCAGCAGCGACACTTGCCGGTCGAGCTCAGATGCAAGTGTACTTGCCAAAGGAAACGCCAAGCCAGCATGGCGGGTAGCGCGTTTTCCTCACGTAATAAAAGGTGCCTTGTCTTGACTGTTCACGTTGCTTGTACTGGACGCCCAAAGATAGCCCCCTCACTCGGCTGGCTTGATCTCTCAGTCTCGCCTGTCGCCTAAAAATACTCCTCAAACTGACGAATCGAGAAGATGGAGGAAGGTCGGCGCCGCGATGGCGTCGCATTCTTCGAATGGTCATGCGTCGGTGGCTCAACTTCGTGACGTTGTTGGCCCTCGGAGCCCCCAGCGAAAGCTTCTCGGGGGACGTGACGGCGTACTCGGACAAGTGGGAAGGCGGAAACTGTGGATTTAACACGATCGCAGGCGATGGACGGACCTTCTTTGCTGCGTTGAACGCGCCCCAGTGGGGAGATAAGATGGAATGTGGCCGATGTGTGCGGGTCCGGTGCACAAGTGCCACCTGCATCGGTCGCCCTGCCATCACAGTCCTCATTACAGACCAATGCCCCGAGTGCAAAGTGGGCGACTTGGATTTATCCATTCAGAGTACGTCCTGTAGCTCTCCACTCAATAAGACGCTCACCTCACGTTTCCGAAGGCTTTAAGGCACTGACGGGTCGTGATCCGGCCCGGTACAAGATCGAATGGGACTTTGTGGAATGCCCCGTCGAGTTCGTCAACGGGGGCGTCGAGTTCGACGTGAAGGATGGGTCAAATGCGTACTGGTGGGCGCTTCAGCCGCGCAACTTTGCACAAGCCATTCGATCGGTGGAACTTAAGGCTCAAGGAAGGGATTGGACAATGTTGGCAAACCCGTCGTCAAACAACATCGACTCGTTCTATTTCCTCAAGAAAGACTCTGAGGGGCTCCCCCTTGGACCGTGCCAGATTCGGACGACGTCGACGATGGGAGAAGCGCTCGTTGAGTCGTTCGATCACTTACCTACCAGCGGCACCCTCTACGGCGCGAGCCAGTTCTCGAGGGTTTCAGCCCCCCTGGCGACCCTGCCTCCTGAATCGCCCAACCCAACGTCCAATCAACTTCCGAAATCTCCAAACCTCCCATCCACCAACGTCCCCTCATCGAAGGACTCTCCTGCAAACTCCCCGAGCACTCCATTGTCAACCATCGCGACGACATTGCCCCCAAAGGAAACCCCACTGGCCCCCGCCACGACCGCTAAAGCGACTGGCCTCCCACTTTGTAATCCATCAACAGCCTCGTACGAGCTGAAGCAAGGGGATGGCGGGTTTGCCTTGCAAGTTTACATCACAGAAGGCCCACCATCGAAAAAAGCGACGTGGGTCGTTGACGTAACTGCGTCAACCGATACGGCCGGCTACATCACTGGTATTTCTGACCCATGGAACTGCGATTGGAGTCGGACCGACATGACTCTGCACTTGACACCCCTTCCGACGCGTCCATCATTTGAAGGGCCAAACCATGTGGGTGTGATTGGTACCGCCACGAATACTGTCGCGTTAGCCTCGATCACGTTAACCACGAAGGGGGAGGCGCCTTGCAGCATTCCCCCCGTCGTGGGAACGAACCCAATCGGTTTTGCCGCGTCCGAGAAAGCGACGGAAGGGCCAAGTGCAGGGGCGATCTTGGGCATCGCGGCAGCCTGCGTTGGTCTAGTCGCGGCTGTCATTATGGTGATCCGAGTGCGACACCAATCACGCGCCAACCCAAACACGCCAGGATTTGGCGGTATGCTGACCCCCATAGACTTTGCCGTGACCACGCCCGTGGCAGTGCTTTGACGGAGTCGAAGCGATGTCGACTGATAGTGCCTTTTCGCATTTCAAAAAAGTACACGCGTTCAAAGTACGGTTTGTAAGTACTATACGTACAATTTATCAACACAAAGTTGATATACTACGGTACACTAGTACGAGTACGTCGAAGGACAACGTATTGAAAGTAGTACCTAGTTAATACCAGTATTGTTCAAAGCACTACTCAGGAGTAGTTAGTACCGTTCAATGTGCAAGAATTTGGAGGGTGACGTCGA